TAGTCTCAGAGCAGTGTTGTCGTTGGTCTTTAACGTTCTACCACGAGCACGTTGAGTGGTGGACGCACACTGCGATGGCGCCTTGGGATCGGTGTTCGTCAAGATTCGGTGTCGTTATCGTATCTGTTAGCAGCAAAGAGCATCACGTTAGGGCTGTGAAGCTAGGATGAGGGAATGGCCACAGAGCAATGAGGACGTTGCAGATCAATGATACGATGGGAGGTATTGTCTAGACTGTGATTTTTTTAACAATGAGAATAAGGTAAAAAAAAGGCATGATATAATGTGCAAATTAATCTTACCTTTAAAAGTACATTTTTGTCTGTCTGTGTGTCATTGTAACGCTTTTAACTGACACTGTTGGGTTTATGTTTCATCAAAGAACACAAATACAACGCGCTAAGTACCCAGAAGAACACTCGCTATTTGTCTGAGGGGCCATCCATAAATTACGTCACGCACCTGGTCGGGGGGGGGGGGGTCAAAAGTCGTCCAAAATCGCGTGACGTCATTTATGGACGGCCCCTTAGCCCATGGTCCAATGGAAAATAATAAAATCACGCTTGGTAACAATGTGCGCCAAAGCACGCATCTGCGCATGCGCGGAAACGCTGACTCGCGGTTGCCCCTAACAACGCACATGAACTTGCTAAGAGGTGATGGGAGGGAGATTCTCCTTCACATTAAAAATTCCATAAAGATAAAAATCAAGCACAGTTACTTCTGTGCAACCAAATGCTGAGGGTCCCGAACAGGGTCGTCTTGTCCGCCCCCCCCGCACCCCAAGGTTTGTAGTTACTACTGTAGAGTCAGTAGATACTTCTATAGAGTCAGATACTACTATAGAGTCAGTAGATACTACTATAGAGTCAGTAGTTACTACTATAGAGCCAATAGATACTCTTTGGTTCTTTCGGTAAAGTCACGTAGGTATAGTAGTAACTACTGACAAAGACGAGCGCTTGGAACTCGCAAAATTGAAAATGAGGGATGATGTGGTCATCCTGTCAGCCGACAAGGGCAATGCCATTGTGATCATGGATAAAACCACATACAACAAAATCCAGGACCTTCTTAATGATGGTAGCTACTCCAAAATCAACAAAGATCCTACTAACAGCCTGACGACAAAAACAAACAATATCATTACCAGTTCGACCTCCGTAATCGAACCAGCTAAACGACTCTCCCTAAAACCTTCTGCTGCTAGACCACCCAGATTTTATGGTCATCCTAAGATCCATAAAGAAGGCACTCCACTTTGACCCATCGTTTCCACGATCAACTCACCCACCTACAAGCTGGCCTGTTTTCTGTCTGATACCCTGCTTCCATTCACTGGCAAGACTACCTCAGCAGTACTTAATTCAGCTCACCTAATCTCTCAAATTAAGGGCATTTCACTGTCCCCAGATTATCTTCTCGCCAGCTTTGATGTGGTTTCTCTGTTCACCAAGGTTCATGTGCCTGACACCTTAGCAATAATTGAAGATTTAGTCCAACACGGACTGAACCCTGATGTTCCTTCTCTGGTTGGGCACTGCCTTACCAACACTTACTTCACCTGGAATGGTACTTTCTACAAACAAAATGAAGGTACCCCCATGGGTTCCCCCTTATCACCAGTGATAGCGAATGTTTTCATGGAGAAACATGCATCCAGACATCCACCCTACGTCCTTTCTTGTGGAAGAGATATGTGGATGACACTTTCGTCATTTGGCCACATGGCCTGCCAGCACTGAACCAATTCCACAATCACATCAATTCCATACACCAATCCATCAAATTCACCATGGAAGTGGAGAAAGAAGGTAAGCTACCATTCCTGGATGTTTTGTTTGAGAAGAAACCTGATGGCTCTTTTGGACATTCCGTCTACAGGAAAGCTACCCACACAGATTCGTATCTGACACCTGAATCCCACCACCATCCAGCACAGAAGAATTCTCTCATCAAAACACTGCACCATAGGGCCCACTGCATTTCTGACCAACACCACCTAGCCAGTGAACTGGAATACGTACTCCAGGCCCTTAAAATGAATGGATACTCAGACGGCATTATACACAAAGCGGTTTCTCCAACCATGGAAAACAACCCCTTGAGACACCGATCAAAACCATCACGTTACCATACATAGCAGGCGTTACCAAAAAAGATTGCCAAAATCTTAAACAAACACAAGATCCAGGTCCGATTCAGTACAGTACATAAAATCCGTGATCTAATCCCATCTGTGAAGGATGTAATTCCTGACTTGCAATACTCTGGAGTCTACAAACTACGTTGCATCTGTGGTGATTGTTACATTGTGGAAACGAAACGTCATGTCTCTGATCGTATCCATCAGCACAAGTCAGATCTGAAACACGGCAAAACGAATTATTCCGCCTTTACATTATGAGACCTCCTTTGCCATTAACAAGATATAGGAATAGGTTTTACCCTTTTAACTGGCACAAAAAAACTGACACCTTTATTCAAGGTATCATGTTTGCAATAACCACAACACAAGCAGTCAAAATGCAAACAAAAAATACAACTCTGATAATAACATGCACTGTCCTTGAATTTGATTGGTCCACACCCGAGACAGCTTTTCTTAGAGCCTAGTCTCCATTGGTGTTGGACCAGAAGACGCCAAAAGGCGTACAACTCAAAAACAGCGCACTATAGGAGTATTGAGGGCTCGGGGTGAGCATTTACATTATGAGATGCCTTGAATAAAGGTGTCAGTTTTTTGTGCTAGGGACTGTATAAGAAGGAATAACAATAAACAGAGTGTGCCTCCTAAGAAGTTTACTCATCTTTACAACACTACACCTGTATCTATAATGCCTGCATCTTTAATGCCTGTATCTTGATAGCTGCTTTTTAATGCCCGTATCTTTAATGGTTGTATCTTTAAATGATGGTGCAAAAGCACATGCACATTTTTCATGGTGTTTTTACATTTTTCTGTTTTGTTGTTGTTTTAGTTGTATCCAGTATTTAGAGGTGTGTGTGTGTGTGTAAACATGAATACATGTAGTTGTTTACATGTGAGGAGCGGTGGTGCAGCGGTTACTGTATATGCGCTGCATGAAAAAAATCAGCTCATGTCCACCAATAGAACGGGTCCTGGGCCTCCCCTAGGTCGACTCAGCCTCAAATCAGTTACCTGGTGTGATGTGAAAACGTCACCGCTGGGAAGACAAAGGCGGCTGTGCGTGGTGCTGGCCACCACTCCCTTGTGTGCTGTTCGGATCTTCATAGGTGCTGCTACTCGCTACGAACGGCACTTGCCCCAACAGTATGTTAACGCTACACGGTGGATATTTGTCTTTCTTACATCTACAGCGTATTTGTCAATCCAAATCTAGATCAGTGTCTCTCCCACGCTGTTAGGTACGGCTGGTTAGTTGACACAGGAGCACAGGAGTAGAGTACAGCAGAGAAAAATCCTGGACTAACATGTTTAATACCTCGTGACTTTACGTGTCTCCGATAGTTTAACATTAACGTGACTTTATATTAGCAATATTCAAACATTTGCCTTATTCGTTACTTTGATATGACAGACGGACAGACAGACAAAATGCCTTTTATAGGTTAGATTTGGTTCTTTGGGTCTTTCAGCTTTACCACTATACCCAAAGAATTTGAATTCTTGCAGTCATGAAAGCTTTAAGTCAAGAATGAAAGATGTTGACGACATCGAACGTAGACACATCTTGCCACGACTACAGAAGCCCTGGCCACAGTTAATTTAAAATCGCTCCGAACTTTACAATTTGTCCTCCTGTCAATGCAATTTACTTAGCCACAATTATCCTTTGGATCCTAGAGAACATTAAACTAACTAACATCCTCGCAACACAACGCCTCGGCATATTAATACTTACCCAAGACTACTTTTAGTGCTCCGAGAATGTATTTAGGATAGCGTATTTTTACAATTCCTATAATGATGGAATATCTGTTGGACTAACGTAGAATTTCTCTGTGGCTTGTGTAAAACTCTTAGGTGGATTGCAAGCGGCCTGAACCCCAAAGCTCACCTGCCTGACGATGTCGGCTTGCCTTACTCCTGCTACCTCTTAAACACTAGGTGAGTAGTCAATGGGAAATTCTTTGGTCAACGAAGTCATTTATGTGTGGCTGTTATGATGCACAACAACGATGCACTGTGCCAAGGCGGAGCATAGGTGGGCTGAGGGGTGAGCGAGTGAGTGGGTGGGTGAGTGAGTAGGTGGGTGAGTGAGTGGATAAATTGGTCAGTAAGTGGTTGGGTGGGTGAGTGAGTCAGTGGGTGGGTGAGTGAGTGGTTGGTGGGTTTCAGTTTTCAGTTTCATTTATTAGGATTTACCCTCTGCGCCATTCGGCTCTTGATTTGGGTTCAACCGCAACAAACAATAAAATTACAAGATACACCTAAAATTCATTGTACACAAATCTAAACGTCACCACGTAAACAATAAAATTACAAGATACACCTAAAATTCATTGTACACAAATCTAAACGTCACCACATAAACAATAAAATTACAAGATACACTTAAAATTCATTGTACACAAATCTAAACGTCCCCACGTAAACAATGAAATTACAAGATACACCTAAAATTCATCGAACACAAATCTAAACATCACCACGTAAACAATAAAATTACCAGATACACCTAAAATTCATTGTACACAAATCTAAACATCACCACGTAAACAATAAAATTACAAGATACACCTAAAATTCATCGTACACAAATCTAAACATCACCACGGAAACAATAAAATTACAAGATACACCTAAAATTTATTGTACACAAATCTAAACGTCACCACGTAAACAATAAAATTACAAGATACACCTAAAATTCATCGTACACAAATCTAAACGTCACAACGGAAACAATAAAATTACAAGATACACCTAAAATTTATTGTACACAAATCTAAACGTCACCACGTAAACAATAAAATTACAAGATACACCTACAATTCATCGTACACAAATCTAAACGTCACAACGGAAACAATAAAATTACAAGATACACCTAAAATTTATTGTACACAAATCTAAACGTCACCACGTAAACAATAAAATTACAAGATACACCTACAATTCATTGTACACACATCCAAACATCACATCACGTAAACAATAAAATCCTACAGAAACAGCACAACCCGTCCATGCTGCGTACAAAAAGTGCGAAAAATTCCGTTTCGATGTTTGATCCCAATAAAAATCATAATACAATAAAGATCGAAATTTTAAGTATAAATGTATACTAAATAAAAAAAAATCGGGCCAAACCAAGCCCCTCTAAAACTTACTAAAACAATGCTATATAAACAACGTAACAGTTTTCCCAACAAATGTTATTTAAAGTTTACCATGAAGACACACACAACACACATCACTAAACCTAGCGTACAACACACATCACTAAACCTAGCACCCTTCGCTAGCTGCATAAGTCAACCCATAACAGCCGGATTAACAAGAGCAGTAGAAGCGCACTATAATCAAAATACATAATAAGTTCATACGTCGGTAATCTATAGCTATATTTTTTATTTCAGGCCACAGGATAGCAGTGGCAGCTATGGTTGTACGACTCCTCGAGAGCATTTTTGAGTGATTGTTTTGTTGGTAACGATCCAAGCTGGAGTGAGTAGGAAAGTTGGTCAGTGAGTGGGTGGGTGATTGGGTGCACGCTTTCCACGCCATAACGTGATAGTGATGGCGTTTCATAATAATGTAGCAGTTGTGTGGCTGTAAATAGAATGCCGATTAATAATTATGCATTGCTTGCCGGGTTTTGTGCAGTCATGTCAATGTTTGTGGTTGCTTGAAAATATATATTTAGAACAAAAGTAATAATTTGTTGGTCCCATCGGAGGGCCGATCAATGTCCATGCGAATAACGTTCACTTTGCCTCTGGCGTTCTGGGTGTTACAGACTGCCATTGCGGACTCGACATGGAGACTTCAGCAAAGCAAACAGATGGGCAGCCATCACAGGTAACTACAGGTCTTTGTTTGTATTCTCTCCGTATATTTATATAATCATGTTATCCATCACAGGTAACTACAGGTTTTTTGTGTTATCTCTACGTATATTTGTATAATGATGTTATCCATCATAGAGGCTGGTTGTTGTGATTCCTTGCGAAACGCCATGGTTACTCGAATGTGTTTTGTGGGTTTACCCTCCAACACACAACAACTGGTTAGTGCTAAACTAGTAACGAATTGGCACCACGTTTTGTTTCTGTGACAAACCCCTCACCGATTGGCTGTGGCGGCTGGTGGTAATGGTGGGTTAATCAACACATTTATATTTTCGTGATTTATCCCAAAAATACCCTCTTATGGATAATATTGGTTGCAAAAGCCCTGCTACTACTAGGATTTATTACACTGAATTTTACGTTAATTGACCGTTCAACACGTTTGCATTTTTTAGGCAAGTGGAAATATTGTCAAGAAAAAGGACGTGTACATGGAAGACGTCACCATAGTTCTACCGATTGTAAAGAATGGTGTCAGTGGCCTTGGTGAGCTCTGGAATTGTCATAGTTCTGAAACAATTCATCAAAACTTGTTCAAGAAACAACTCGAAAGTGAACACCTGATTTCCCACCCACTCAAGAAGCTTGAGTACAGCTTAACACACATCAAGGGAACCGAAGACCAAATCAGAATGTTCAGAGCCCATGGCTCCATGGGCCTGGAGCTGCTATGTGGGCTCATTAAAGTTGATGGATTGGCAGACTATAGCAATAAATCTGTGAGAAGCGTGAATGAAGAAAAACTAATCTGTCAGTACAATTTGGAAAACTTTTCAATCTCCTTGCTTCCAATAGCTAAAACGGAAATCGATGATCACGTACAGAGCCAGCTGATGAAAGGACGCATCAAAGCAACACACGTGGCATATGGGGTGATCTTGGGTGCGGAAGTGAACGCGCACGTACTGGTCACGCGGAATGAGACGAAAGCGAGCGATAGCATCAGCATCAGCGGCAGTGCGGTTGGGAAACTCGGTTTTGGCAAAGTAACGCCCTCTCTGAAAGCTCAGCTCGAGTGGTTGGACACGAGCGAGGCAAATGGCTACCGCACGCAGATCGACATTCACTCCAAGCCGCCAATGAAGCGGCAACCGTCCACGGTCAAGGAGATGTTTGAGTTGGTGGAAAATATCGACGTGTCTGTTGCCAATGAGCAGCATTACAAGTTCAGTGGCGCGAACATCATGGGAGTGCCGATTCGCTGGGTTCTTGTACCCATTGCGCAGTACCTGGACATTGACGTGGAGAAGCTCTACTTGCAGATCAGCGAGACTTTACTCTGCGACTTCAGAGCCATGCTCATCTCCCTGCAGGATTCTCGTCAGCCCGAATGCATTAAGAGACGAGTGCTTGAGAAAGAGCATCGTCTGCAGCGCGTCCTCTCGGACTCCAGCTCCCCACTCTCTCGAGACATTTCACAATACGAGAAGATACTAAACAAAAATGTCGAATCATTATTTATTTGTGCCTGTAAGGCTTTGAGAAACTATAAGCAGGCAGTAATCACATCCAGTGAGCTTCACACGATCACAGAAGAATATGAAATGTCTCACTTCAGCGCAGTTGACATATCCGCAAAGGTGGACAAATTCGTGATGGATGGAAAACACGAACTTGACGCAATCCATGAGAAAGATGCAACTCAAATGGAGGCTGAAATCTGCATCTTTACCAACCGTGCATTGTTGAACGAATGGATGAACACAGAGGCAAACATTAAAATATTGTTGCAGACAAAGGGTGATCCTTCCAGTGGAGTGTTCCATCGCCTCTTTAAAATCAGTCATGCACTGAAAGAGCAAAACATTGATGTGGGAATTGCACTGCCTTCCATCTCTGACAACTTCTCTCTTACAATTAAGGCTAGAGAACACCAAAAGTGTTATCAGGCGGCTGATATTCCACTCATCCTTCGGATTATCAGTGCCGCCGTGAACACAGACTCGTCAGCGGAGAATCAGTTTTACACGATCATGGCTTCACACTTCAACATCACTTTGCCGCTTCAGCCGAACGAACTTAAAGACCTTAATCGCCTGGTAGAATTATTGAGAATAGGAGATGTACATATTGCCTCCTCCTACATGGAATCTTTAGAGTGCCTCTGGAGTTGTGACTCTCAATGGATGTTTTTTGTACCAATCGATGCATTGGATACTGCGTATGAATCAATAGTCGGCCTTCGCGACAACTTGAAACGACTCGCCTGTGCCAATGGAAAGTGGGTGGTGGGTAGGCTGGACATTGCCAATCAGCACGAAGCGCCCTTATTGTTTGTCCTTCGTGACAAGAAAGTGAAAGCCATATGTCTAGACCATCTGGACATTATGATTCTTGTTGATCTCTTCAACAAAGCGGCAACCTCTGAACACAATGAGCCCGATTTGTCCGACCTGTCACCAGAGTCCTTGAAGTGTTCTATCTATCACAACAGAGCCACTTACGCAGTGAAGACCATGGAACTCATGCATCAAGCAAATAATTCTGAGGACAATTATAGTAACATAAGGATGCAGTCGTTTGAGGACAATGTCGATGAGAAGTTTACCGATGCGCTGCACATTGTACGCAGTTGTCTTTCCCGAGTAGACATGGATGTAATTGCAATGGTTACACATTTTGCCATAAGGGATAATCCAAAAATTAGCAGTATTCTCGAGAAAAACGGATGGAGAAACGTGGATTGCAGTTTTGGCAAGGACCGTCTAGAGCTGCAAGATTGTGAGTTGATCAGTACTGGGCTGCAAGAGTGGTTAAGTTCACGTGATAAGTTCTTAACCAAGGTTAAGTCAGCCAAAGTAATTATACAGAAATTTCAGTTGACATCTGGTTCCTGCACTGATGATAGTGTAATGAGGGTTAACAATGCTATGCAATTAGTTACAGATGACCCAGAATGCCCAGAATATATTGTTCATGAAATTCAAAGTTTGCAGGAGAGTTATTGCCATGATAAATATAAAGTTTTTCTAGCAACAGCAGATGACTATGTGGTCAGTTCTGAAAACCAAGACGGAATGACTCATGTAAAAGCACTGATATCCATTTCGAAACGGATGTATCAAAATGACTCATATTTATTTAATGCCTATGATGCCATAAATATATATGTTGGTCGAATTGATTTTAGTAACTCTCAATATTCCAGCTCGAACAGATCCATTGCTCAATGCATAGAGAAACGTCAGCTTCACGCACTGATTCAACATCTATCCAAATTACAGTATAATCGTCACCTGGTCATGCTGCAGCTTGCTTTTGACAAACTCAAAGAGCTAAATGAGCCCAAGGCAGTTGTCGGAGTGCTGAACCTGCTGTCAAACCTTGGGCTGCAAGAAAATCAATGGGAAGATCTCTGGACCAATTCTTCGTTCAAGTACCTCATTAGACGTGTAATTGAGGACTATGATGTGCTTCAAACGATGAACCTCATGGATCACACATTCATTCCAAGCGAATTTCAAGATAAGTTCCCATGCAAAAGTGTGTCTCTAATGCCAAATTGCTTTTCAAGTTTGGAAAGTGCTTTGAGCACGTTTGAGAACGTAATTTCACTGAAAGAAATCCCACAACATTTCACTGACTTATTTGCACAATCCATTGCCAATGATGCCTCTTTGGAGAAATCACTAAAAGAAGCGAACGCTCTGATACATTGGCAAGAAAAGGATAAAATATTCTGCGAGGGTTGGTCTCTGCAGACATTCAAGGATGCTGTGGACAATATTCAGAAGTTTAACAAGGCGAAGGAGTCAGCCGAATTACGTAAAATGCAGAGAGATATTGGTATTGATGTGAAGGTTGATCGTCGACCAACTACCTCCAGTGAGCAAGCTAACAAAGCGGTTGTGCTGGTGCGTGAAGATTGGCACTCAGTGTTTGGCAAATCCTTGACAATGACCACACCTTATGAGTACGTGATGGTGCGTGGAATTATCAAGCAACCAGATGTCTCCTCTGAACAAATATCATCAATCATGAATGAAGCTTTGCCATATATTATGCAGACATTTAAAATGTGGGGAGGCAATATTCTTCGAGCAGGTGCGATCTGTAGGTTGGGTCAGAGAGAAACTGCAACCGTCATTGGCCATACCAATAAACGTCCTAATTTTACAGCTAACATTGGTAATGCGCGCAATGCTCGGCAGACACAACATAAGAACAAAGCCACCCTATCTCGACTCGACTGCATCGTTGCTCTGCTCAGCGTTGCTGATTGCACAGTCGTTCAAGAGATGCTGCAGATAATGACCAAGTTCCCAATGGCGCTCCCGCTGGTGATGCCAGATCTGGAACTTGCAGGCAAGTTGAAGGTGATGCTTCCCCTGCTTGCCGGCAACACGATTAAGTGGGAGGCCCAATCTGGCGTCATTGCCGAGAACCACCTGTTCCTCAGCCCTTTCAGACTCATCCTGGCCGTTAGACTTGGCAACGGTTCTTGTGGAAAGAGCACAATCCTCAACCAGCTCATGGCCGTGGAGAATATGTTCTCGTCGTGTGGGGAACCAGGAGCCCAGCAAGGGCCACCTCTGACCCTGGCCGGGACGGTGGAGTTCACGTGGCTCACACAGGAGACGTGCAGCGCCAGCCTGTGGGACTCTGTCATGCAGGAGTTTTACTCGCAGGGGCAGCAGGAGATCGTGCTCCTTGCGAACCTCCATGGCGATGCCCTCGAGCACCCAACAACTCTCGAGTTCCTGAAGACGTTCACCTCAGCATACCTGATTTTCCTGATGCCAGGAACAAAGAACGTCTTGGCAAAGAGAAATGAGGAATTTGGCAAACATGCATGTTCTGAAGATGAATCCTTCTTCCTGCTTGTCGATCCTTCAGCGGACTGCAACGAAGCAGACGACATCATCATTCAGACATCAACACTGACAAAGGACGCCACTCTGGAGAAGGTGCGCTCCATTTTCAGAGAAATTCTAAAAATGCCTTCTCGAAATATTACGCTCAACCGGAAGCTTGAAAGCAACGAAATATGCGACCCACTGACTCTCGCACATGGGATTGAATGTGTCGAATCACAACGAGTGGTAGATTTCGTTCGACAGAAGACGTGTAAAGAAATTAGAAAAGCCATGCATTTTCAAATACATAAAACTGGTCAAAAAACAAATCTTATTAGATTATGGAGAGACAACGAGATACTCCAGCAGCTGATGAAACATTATGGGGCAGTTTTGAGCCTGCCTCTTTCAGAAAGACTAAAAGCCATGTCCCATATTGAGAGGGATATCTCACTCCTATCCAATGCAGAATCCTCGAATATCAGACAAAAAGTTGCAACTAAAATTGAGAACTTGCAAGGACAAATTGTTCAAAAGAATCAAAACAAGAAATTTGTGAATAATATTAAAATGGATATTAATGATAACTTAAAAGAGCTAGACCATATGTGTCTTGGTTTGGAGCATTTCTTTCGTGAGTTGGGTCATATTTATGAGATAGTACAAGGGGGTGAAAGTAAAAATGAAGACATATTAACATTTCCAAAATTGTATGGAGAGTTGCTCACCCAAGGCCATGCCATTGAACTGCTTAACGGTGACACCAGCGAAATGCCCGGAGCGTGGTTGACAGACATCTTTCAACACATTTCTCGCAACTTCCCAACACTCCGCATATTCGTGATCTCAATACTGGGATTGCAGTCGTCTGGGAAATCCACGCTCCTGAACGCCCTCTTCGCTTGCAAATTCGCCGTCTCCGTTGGCCGCTGCACCCGCGGTCTCTTCATGAGGCTGCTCTTCTTGGAGGAGAAGCTCGTGAAGAAGCTCAAATGCGACGCGATCGTGCTCATCGACACTGAGGGACTTGGGGCACCGGAGAAAATGAAAGACGAAAACGCGGAACAAAAGGACCGCATTCTCGCAACGTTTGCGATGAGCGTGAGCAACCTCACGCTCATCAACGTCCTCGGGGAGTACATGCAGGATTTGACTAAAATCCTGCAGATCGCGATTGTCGCGATGGCTCAGCTCAAAGAGGTGAAGATGGCGCCGGACATTCTCATGGTGCAGCATCTCACGGAGAGGAACTCGGCCATGATGTCATCGGCACAAAACCAGTTCTGTCAAGCGATTGAAAAGGCACTGGAGCTTACGGAGAAGAAGGATTTTGACATGGGCATTGGCGATGTCAGCTGCTTGAAGAACCTGACTGACCGAATCCAGAATGGGAAGCTTCTGAAACAATTCCGCCCGTTCAAGAACGGGGCTAGTGCTGGTTCTCCCCCATCGGAGCAGTACCACGAGGACGTGCTGGATCTGTATAAAACGATCCTGGATATTTGTGCAAACTCTGGTGGCTCGGTGCTGTTCTCAGAATGGCACTCGCGTTTACAGAGCTTTTGGAGTTGCATCTCCAAGGACAATTTTGCCGTCCGATTCAAAAACATCAAAGAGATTTACGAATTCATTGACCGTGGCCACCGAATTGCAGCCATGAAAGAGGCTGCTGATGCGGCATTTTTTTCGCACGCAGAGAAGCTGAAAAAACAAATGCGTACAATGGTGCAGGATTGGAATGCAAAAACTCAACATCTTGCTTACCAAAATGTGTTGAGAATATTCGAAAAAGAATTGAACGTGGTACCTTATGGCTGTAACGATGGTGCATCAAACTCATCCCGATGCAAGGCATGTGAAGATGTCTTTAGTTTACAGGGATATGCAAAAGAAAAACAGTGCGAGCTCAAGATAACAAAAACGGTAAACAGCTACATACACTGCATCCGCCAGTCCACTTTTACGACCCTCACACAGATACTGGACGCCGCCGTGGTGCGTCACGTCTGCTCGAAGTAGTTCTTGGAAGAAATTAAGCGATGCCTAAAAACGGAATTGAAGATACAGCCAGCTGGAGATTTCTCTGACGAGGAACGCAGCATTATTGTCAAGAATATTTTATTGAGTCTCTCCAGGATGGCTACTTCGATGTGCAAGGATTTACCAGATGCTAGAATACTCAGAGGATCTAGAAGATGAATATCAGCAAGCGCCTGCTAAACCTGCTCAATACGGTAACAAGAAACCTCTGAAGTCATTTGGAAAAAGTAAAGCAGAAGCAGTACCAGTACAGAAAAATGACTGGTTACAGCTAATGGCCACTGAAAAAGACCGATAGTGAAAATCCCCCTTGGCTGGAGAATGATTTGGACTAATTGCTTAAGCTAATACACAAGCATAAGAAGGCTGAGCATTTTGAAAATGGTATGATTCGTGAACTTAAAAAAACGAGTAGAAACATCTATATGTCATCATGAAGTTAAACAACGCACTAAACTGCCGAGAGATATCAAGTGTGAAGCCCACTTATTCACTCTCCGTAAATTTGGAGAACTCATGTCAGTGTGTCAAGGTAAATGGGAAAAACAACACTGTCCAATTACAATACTGCAACAAAAGAGGGATGAGTTCAGAGCAATAATAGACATTCAACTTCGAGGTGGATTTTCATCTGCTTCCGAAGGGAGAATCATTGCCAAATATCTCTTGGATGCTATTCGACAGAGATCGATTAAGTCTGGAAATCGCAAAAAGGTAGAAGCCCTGCTGGATTTGCACTGGACAACCAATAGTGAGAAGGTTCGCCTCACCTACTTTGAGCATCTGGCCACCGAGGTCAATAAGAAACAAACCGCAGAGGCCCTGTGGCACTTCGCACATCCAAATTCCACGATCGAAAAGTGGTTCTCCAAAAGGGTCGCCAGTCACGTCTGTGGCAACACGACCGAGGCGTTTAAGGCGACGAACGCTGCTGAACTGAAGCACGTCGTTCAGGAAATCCGGAAATGTCAGGATATCGCATCTGTGCAGAAATTCACTCGTGATTACCTGACCCATGCCGAAGACCTCGAATACAAAAGCTGCTTAGACGAACAAGCTGTATCGCAAATGGACATATCTTTACTTCGTGACAGCGTCCTGGAAGTGCTCAACGACACCGAGGCAAAGGGAGACCCCGAGAGCGTGAACTTTGTGGCGCCGTCAACAGACGAGAGGGTCCAAAGTCGTCTCGTCTGCACGGCGCGATGCTTCTGGTGTGGAGCTCTGTGCTGGGGGTCACGGGGTCACCACGAGAACGATGAAGACACAAAGGCGCACCACAGCTGCCACCAGCCATGTGGCCTTCACGGAATACATAACAGAAAAACCAAACATTTATCAGCAGAGCCATGCAATTTATTCGAGAATGATTCGCGGATCCATTGGGGAGACAAATGCATGAAGTGGTCCGAGGCAAAGGCCACGGAGTTCAAAACGTGGAAGTTTGACGCTCACTGTAATGATAAATTCGATGCACTCATGCGCTGGTTTTTTCAGGTGTTGCACGAAGAGATCGCTGCATTATGGCAACTGCTTCCTGCTACAAAAGAGCAATTGGAAAAATACGAATGCCAAAACCTTGAACATCGTTCTATACTGGCAGCAATTAGGGTGGCGATAAAATAGAATGTACTCATTGGTTTTTTCGGTAAAGTCACGTATGTGGAAATAATAAAATGATATAAAAACAATATAATTTTATTATTTCTACATACGTGACTTTACCGAAAAAAACAATGAGTAATTTTATGCAGTCACGAAAGCTTTAATACTTTATTAAAATAGAATGTAGTTAAAAAACGGGCATTCAAACATATAAATGCTCGAGGAACATGCTAATAATCGGTGTTTTGGATTATAGGGAAATAATTAGTAATCACGTAGAAACATGCATATACAATTGATTACAGTTAACGTACATTTCTATATACAGGGTGCTTCGAAAAAATGTTAACACTGGCATGGGACTATCGTGTTTAATGAAAAGAGAACGGATAATAATAGACTATAAACACGATAACAAATGTCATTTACATCATTGGAACTCCTTTGCCAGTACCAAAATATAACAGGGTTTGACCCCTTTTTTCTGGCAACAAAACTGAAACCTTTTTATAAGGAATCATGTCTGCATTAACCACGATACTTTCAGTCAAAATGCAAAAAAAAAAACCACTCAGTTTAACACGTAGGCTTTCGCGACCAATATTATTCATAATAAAGGTTTTTGGGTTAGATCACGTTATGTATAAATGTGTCGTAACCCTCCACCACCCGACACAACCAATCAGCAAAATAAAGTGTCACGTTGACAAAAGACAATGACACATTTATAAATAACGCGATCTAACCCAAAAACCTTTATTATGAAAAAAAAACTCTTATAATATATGCATTGTCGTTGAAACTGATTGGTCCACACAGGAGACAGCTTTATTCTTATATTTTGGTACTGGCAAAGGAGGCCCAATGATGTAGATGCTTACCCCGAACCCTCATTACTTTGATAGTGCATTGTCTTTGAGCTGTACGCCTTTTGGCGTCATCTGGTCTAGCACCCATTGAGACCAGGCTCTAAAGAAAGCTGTCTCTGGTGTGGACCAATCAGTTTCAAGGACAATGCATATATTATCAGAGTGTTTTTTTTGGTTTGCATTTTCTATTATTATAACAAAAGTAATGTTAACAGCTTCAAAAGGTCAAAGAGTCTCTCACTTGTACGCCATCATTGTCCACTCGCGCCTGCAATCTTCTCCAAGAGCCCGGAGGCGCGATTCTCGTGGTATCGTAGATGTGTGTGTGTGGGTGTGTGGGTGTGGGTGTGTGTGTGTGGGTGTGTGTGTGTGGGTGTGTGGGTGTGTGGGTGTGTGTTTGTCTGCACATTCTTGCGTGACGCGAAGCACGCAGACCCAGATCAACGTCCCTTGACACGTGGCCGTCGCTCCGGCGTGGACGCACGAAGCGTCCACAACAAACAACAAAAATAACATAATAAAAGAACAACAAATAAAAACACAAGCAATAAAAAGAACAAGCAACAATCAACAATAAGAACAAACAAATACAACAAAAACTACAAGAACAAAAAAAAATCAACAAAAACTACAAGAAAAACAAAAAAGAAAAACACAAACAACAACAACAACACAGAGCTCTCTCTGCCACGTGCGGCAGTGCGTGACGCCATCTCCCCCGCCGAGCTAGCGTGAGGCGCTGCTCCACTCACCCCGACACCAGGAGCCTCGTCCACTCCGCTGCTCGCACGACGACAACAACAACAACGACAACAATAACAAACAACGACAACAACACAAAGTGATCACTTGTAACAAACAAACCAGCTTTGTGGCCCGCCCAAGGACGGGTGTTGTGTGTTGCAGTCAAAATCGGAAAAATTCAATAGAAAAATTGTTCAGCTCATGATTATTAATGAGGGGGGTGGGGTTGACATGAGTGACCTAATCAGCTCATGATTATTAATGAGGGGTGCGGCATGTGGAGTGACGTCACCCGCTCATGATTATTGGGGAGGGGTGCGGCATGTGGAGTGACGTGACGCAAGGGACACACACATACACACGTTCTTGGCTTATTATGTTAGTAGTAGTAATCTGCAATCTGCAATGCTCACCACGTGCTACGAATGCTCTTAGAGTCGCCACCAAACTTAGTTTGTAGTCGCGACCCCACGCACACTTTGCTGACTCAACGCGCTACCGCTGTCGGAGCTTTGGCACGCAAATTGATCCTCGTTGCGGTACCCCGGGCTACCACACAATACAAACTGGCCGAGGCAGTGAAATATTTCATTTCTGGGACACAATTATCATTTTTTCAGGGGTGTTACTTCACTTCACGACTGGGGTACCAATCGAGCCGACGTCGGCACCGCTCCACGATGTCGAAACTCCCAAACTTCAGCATGAGAAAAATCCGTGGTCGAAAAAGTTCGACTCTGAACGTCGCATCGTGGTGCACGGCTCGTCGAGATGAGTCGATTGCCGCGTCGCCGACCATCGACGGACTAAAATTGAACGCATCACGGACATTCTGCGAGAGCCAGGGAGTCACTGTGGGCACCCCGGGGTACCACCATGGGGTTCAAATGTCAATCGTTGTCATGTTGTACCACTGAGTAATTAATGAGGATTACTTTGCTTGTGATGATATTGTAGCGCGATTGCGAGTTTAATTCTGGGAGTTGGGGGGCTTCGTGTTCTTTGCGGGCTATGCTGCTCTTAGCTGTTGATAAGAATCAACGCCGATTCGATTGGTGACTTTTTTTGGTCTGATGTTTAAAAGGCAAACGCAATAAATCGAACGTTCGTCTTGAATGCGTCTCCTCGTTTCACTTCAAGTCACGTCAACAAGACGACGTTGCATCAACACTACAACGACGTTGCATCATCACTGCAATGACGTTGCGTCATCACTACAACGACGTCGCGTCATTACGATGACGTCACGCTACATCACGAGCAGAATGAGCCGCGCCGTCTGATCGTGCCGGAGGGGAGACGAGGCCACGGTCGCTGTGCTGGGTGACAAATTGAAACAAACGCAAACACAACGCACACACCCCTTGTTTGCCCCCTTGTGACTCATTGTATGTCTCCTTGTGACTCTGCCACTCATCCAAATGTTATACGTGGATTGACCAAGCTGAGTGTGAAATCGCAGTCGTTGGCTTTGCATCAACAGCCGTACGACAAGAAGGTGACCATTCACCCTCACCCACACTCACCCACACTCACCGAGACTCACCTACACTCACCCATACACACCCACACTCACCCACGCACTAAATCACCCACCTGTTCACCTAATCAATCACACACTCACCCACAGACAACCGCCCACCCACACTCCCCCACACTCACCCACACACACCGACCCTCACCAAGACTCACCCACATTCACAACAACAACAACCGCCATTCGCCACTAAGTGGCGGTGACGTCACCACGACGCTTGTGCCAGGCTATGTGCACCCTGAGGCCACGTGAAGTGTCGAACGCCCGCTGGCAGGAGGTCACGGGGCAGACCCAGGTGCCACGGGTCGACTGACTGAGATGACTGGCTGATGCACCACCTGTGCCCCCTACTGTGCCAACCTGCTGTGCTTTAGCCACCCAGCGCTCCGCTCGTTGTTGTGAGCGTAGCTCCTCCGCCCTCCGTTGTTGTTGGAGGGCGACTGCCTCCAACTGCCCAGTAGCGTCCTTCACGAGCCTCCTCCACAGAGGCCGATCTTGACACCGTTGGTACCAGTCATCGGCAAGTCCAGCTCCACGTCCTCCTGTACCACATCAATCCATTTGTTCCCTAGCCCGTGCCGCGCCCGCTTAGCCCCCTCAATCCGGCCGAACAAAAGCTGTTTCGGCATGCGGTGGCTGGGCATGCGGTCTACATGACCCAGCCATCGCAGCCTTTCCCGCCGGAGGAGCTCACCGATGGGACCTTGCCCAGATCTTTCAAGGATTTGTGAGCTCCTCACACAATCCAGTCTGGTTAAAACCAGGATGGATCGTGGGCAGGCCAGCCTAATTGTTTCTAACCGGCGAAGTTGTTCCATTAGGGGCGTCCACGTTTCGCAAGCGTAGAGAAGGGAGGGAATGACCATGGCCGAGAAGACCTGAAGCTTAGTGCAGAGCGACAGACCAGGTAGCTTCCACACAGCGTTACGCAACCAATGAAAAGATATTGCCACTCGACTGATTCGGAGTGAGACCTCTGCTGTTAAACTGGAGCCAGTCATAAGCACACTGCCCAGGTATGGGAAACTCTCCACTCTCTCCACAACTGCCCCATCAGCGATTGGGAGTTGTGGGGGTGGAGTGTCCGATGGTACAAAATACCCAGGCAGGTGCTTAGTTTTGGTGGGGCTGATGGTAAGGCCCACCTCTTAGTGGCACGCTCCAGTCTCAGCAGCAGCGTCTCCAACTCCTCCTCTGAATGAGCAGCTATTCCCAAATCATCAGCATACATAACGTGGTTGAGCAATAGGGAGCCATCCCTTGACCGCACCCGGGCATCGATCAGCCTCCCATTATATCTGTACCATATGGAGATTCCCCCGGTACAGCTATTGAAGGCTTCACGAACTACGTGGTCAAAATAGATGTTAAATAATGTGGGAGCCAGAGGACATCCCTGTCGCACCCCAAGGTGTACCGGG